AATCAACACTTTTTATTGTAAATGAGTGAAGAGCCAGGACATATGATGGGGCAAGTTCAAACACAGCACCTCCATGGGGAATGCAAATGGGCCTCTATAGTACTGGGGACTCCATGTGCTTCTAGTGTCCAACTGCAGACAACCCACAGGCCTCTGGAAGTCCCAAAAGCCCAATGAATTCTTGGCATTGGATGGAATCAAGATCCTGGGGTCAAGTGTCACAAAGCATGATGGCACAGGCCTGTCATCCCAGCACTTAGGAGGCTAAGGAAGGAGAATGAGAAGCAACAGCAGCAGCAGCACAAGCCTGTTACATTATCTTCACAATAATCATGGTTATTAATAGCAACCTAATATTACCATATAATATAAAGATGTCAATTCCACCTGTAATTAAGAGAATGTACATTAGAACCACAATAAAATTTTCTTTAGCTCAATAATTGGCTAAGTAATTAATCTGTCTGGACATGGTGAAGTATACCGGTAATCCCAGCACTCAGGAGGCAGAGGCAAGAGGATCAGGAGTTCAGGTTCAATCCAAGCTACCCAGCAAAATCTTAAAAAACAAAATCACAACAAAAGAAGAAAAAAGATTTTGAGACAAGGTCTTACTATGTAGCCCCAGCTGGCCTGGAACTCAGTTTGTAAACTAGGTTGGTCTCCAACTTACAAACATTCTCCAGCCTCTGCCTCCTGGGTACTGGGATTAAAGTAGTGGGCCAACATACCCAGCAACAAAAGAAATTTTACCACATCTGGTAACCACTGCAGAAGTATCCAAGAAGTAACCATCCGAGAGTCATCTGTCAGGAGCCAAGAGCCCTGAAATCCATGTGCACAAGGTCACAATATGCTCTACAGGTAAAACAGAAGCATCTTCAATGCTCTGAAGCTGGAAGAACTGATAAACCAAAGAAGAACCTAGAATTATATTCAATGGATGTGACACTAAGCATGGATCAAAGTTAAAGGATTTATACATAATATCATTAATTAAACGTGGTGATATTTTGTTTGTGCTTTAACAAATTAAGTTTGCCTGAAGATCAGAGGGTAGAGCTAGCCACTAGATAACCATAGAGGCCAGGCAGTGGTGGCACATGCCTTTAATCCCAGCACTTGGGAGGAGTTCAAGGCCACCCTGGGCTACACAAGATTGTCCAGTCTAAAAGAGAAACAGAGCCAGGCAGTGGTGGCACACATCTTTGATCCCAGCCCTTAGAATCTCATGCCTTTAATCCCAGCACTAGGGAGATGGAGACAGGAAGTGATATGGCTGGGCAGAGAGAGGAATATAAGGCAGGAGGAGATGGGGGCTCAGCTCTCTTTTGGCTAAGGATTTCATAGAGGTAATGGCTGGCTACTCTGCTTCTCTGATCTTTCAGCTCCACCACCACCCCCACCCCCCACCCCCGCCCCATATCTTGTTTTGTTTTTTCGAGACAGGGTTTCTCTGTGTAGCTTTGTGCCTTTCCTGGAACTCACTTGTTAGCCCAGGCTGGCCTCAAACTCACAGAGATCCACCTGCCTCTGCCTCCCGAGTGCTGGGATTAAAGGCGTGCACCACCACCGCCACCCGGCTTCCCCCGATATCTTACTGCAGATTTTTATTAATAAGAACAATTAGGATCTGTGCTACACGACCACACAGTGTCCAGAGTTTGAAATGTGTCCTTCCATCAGGTCACACACTGATCACTAAGTCCTGGTCCAGTCTTATCTATGGAGCACCCATATTTCCCTGATTTGTGCTTAGACTTCCCAGAGGATGAACCAGTCAGAGATGGAACCAAAGGTCATAGGGGCTGTGGTTGTAGGTAGAGCACTAGAGGGAGCAAGGGTACCACCAGGAAACAGGACTTCATCTCAAACACCAGCTCTGCCTCCAGGAGTAGGGGCTAGAAGTGCTAAGGAACCTGAGCTAGAAACCAATACTTGGATTTAATAGGGGTAGAGGAACTGGGGAGAGGACTTAGCAGTTAAGAGAACTTAATGCTCTTGCAGAGGGCCTAGGTTCCATTCCCAGGACTCAGGTGGTGGCTCACAGTGAGCAGTAACTCCAGTCCCAGGGAATCTAACACCCTCTTCTGGCCTCCATGTGTACCAAGCATGAAGGTGGTGCACATACAGATACTTACATACATGTAGGCAAAACACCCATACACATTTTTTTAAATCTTAACAGAGGAAAGAATAGCTCTATTCTAAAATCCACAAAAGACTATTAATATGCAAAAGTAGTAAATCTCCTAGCATGGAAACAAACACAGATGAGGGTGGGGGGCTGTGAAGTGTTCATGAT